ATTCGCAGTTCGAAACTAGGTATTCCTCGTGGTAGTGCTTAGCTGGAAACGATATTATATCAGAAAGCTGAGAAATAGTTGCGGAGTTTGTGTGTTCGACTAAGTGTCAGATCACCGCTCCGAAGTATAAAAATGTTAATGAGTTGAAAAATAAATGTAAAAGCGCTGAGAAGTAATACCTAATCAAAAGAATGCAAGCTTTTACCGAATTTTGCCCAGTGAAGAAAAGGAAAGAAAATTATCAAAGTTGTTTGAAAACACTGGAAAAAACAAACCTTTAGGATTTGGACAAATGGGACGAAAACTGGTAAGACGGCGAAGTTTTGGTCGGAAAGTCTTGTCCAAAGATACCAAATTTGGTGTCTTTTCAGTCAGAAACTGGGCTGCCTTGAATTTATACAAGCTAATTGTCTTGAAGAAGAAGTATTTAAATGGAATAAGCTTCGCATAACTCATTTCGTTTCTTACAATTTAGCAGGCAAAGTGTGTAGATTGGAACAAAGAAGCAGCTTACTTTGGCTGTGTTCCGAACTCGCTTAGTCCAAAGTTATCAAAATACCCGTTTTGATCCAGATAACGACGAAAGACGCGTTTCAAGTTAAATTTTTAGATTTGAATGCAGTCGGCAAATTTTGTATCTGCGGCGAAATTTTTAAGCAGGCTTTTTCAATTAAAAAGTTTTGGTTATCAGAAGAAAATGGAAAGCAGAATGCCATTTTCAGAAACCGATTCATTCAAAAAAACAGAAGCAATGTAATATTGAAAGTTTCAGGAATGGTAACTCTGATATAATAATATTTCGCGATAAATCACCAAAATTTATGTTGTTTGGGACAAATGTCCATGTGACGTTGGGTGCAACTATTGCAGCAACCATTGGTTTAATGGTAACAATTGCATTCTGTATTATCTATACTTTTTATCATCATCGCGGGCAGGGAAGAAATTATTTCATCGATCATCTCGAACTCGGTTAGTTTTCACTCTTTTTCTTTTCACTCAAGAATAAATTCACATTCTGCAAAAAGCGTACACAAAATGAAACATAGCTTAGTCAAAATACTGATTAATCTTTCGATTATTAATGACTTAACTATAATCTTTTAAAATGATAACTATAATTTCCTAGCATAAATTCTTCACTCCATAATAAGATCAGCGCATTGTTTGAGTGGAGAATGAGCACTCCGACAATAACTGTATGCCATGATAAGACGTTGCGTCTCATTGAGTCGCATGTCCTTCAGCTCGACTCCATACAGTTTAGGTCTCATCAGTATTAGAAGCGTAATGTTCTTATATGCTTGGAGTATCTGGAAGAGCTGTTGATTTACAGTGTGATATCCGTGAACGGTTCATAATAGATTATAGTTAAGTTTTATTTATTGAACTGTGGCCTTAAATGGGTTTTGCTACTGTTGCATTATATCTGCTGGCAGCTTATCAAGTAGTAGTAGCTTTAAAATTAGTTCAGTACATTGCATTTAATCCGTTCCCTATGCGTGTTTCTTCTATTCTAATCAACCGCTGTTTTTTTTTTTTTTTTTTTTCTGCTTGCTTCATGCCTTAAGATTAGCACTAATGGATTAAAGGTCGTTTTTGTCTTTTCTTGAGTTATAAAAATAAAAAAAAATAATTCTTTGAGAGACACGGCAGTAATTGCACGCTACTCAGCCATAATGTTAAAAGAGAAGCCATTATTGAAATGTCTCAAAGATGCAACTGGGATTTTTTCGAAGAGAAAAACATATTTGATGGAGTTCCGCGGTTTTTGCAACTTTCTTCGAGATATTTTCACATCAGTACTCAAATAGTGAAAAATTATTTTCTACATCAAGCACATTCAGTCTTACTGGTGTAGCCAGTGTAAAAGCCCCACCCGTATTCGCCCTCCTTCAGAGCGAAAGCACTCGAGAAGTGGTCCGAGTAGTAGCAAATGCCAACAGTAGCCATCGTTTGGAAAGCTGTCAATGGTTTATTTTTCGAGAGTTGCCTACATGTAAGCAATGTCGTGTCTGAATCCCCGGCATATGCTAGCACCAATTTACCATCAAAACGAATAAAACGAAACATAGAAAGACTGGCTGTAGTTTATTCAGTTGTTAAGTCATATGAAATGATAGATATAAAATGATTAATAAAAAATAGTAAGATTTTTAGCACATTATTGTAGCATAGAGAATCAACTGTACAGTCGAGGTAAGATGTATGAGAATTTATGATTCATGAACCGAAAGGCCTTTTCTTGGCAGAATTATTGTTATTATGGAAGCATTCATGACAGAATGTGTGGACCACAAAGTGCTAATAAAATTTTAGCATATCTGTGCTACATCTTTTGTTAAAATCGTGAAAACGTATACGGCGGCCGAGATCTTTCATAACTTTTTCCGATTATTAGTGGCACTGAGATAAATATGCTTACATGACATAGTCGCGTCACATACGGCGATTAACGTTTCCTTGCAAACAGTGCTGTGTTTTCCTGTCAAATATTTTTGTTTTGGATAAAAGCATTTGTGCACAGCCAGTAACATACATATGCTTGAGTGAGTTTAGATCAGGAGAATGGAGTAAGCAAATGTGAATGATGTCATTTAGTCGAAGCGCAAAATTTAGTCCAAGTGCTTCTAAAATTTGCTTCTAAAATTTATTTGATCAGGAATTCAACCAAGACAGCCAGCCATTTGGACGTAAAATTTGGTTCTCAGTCCCGTGGTGCTAAACTATTTTGAAGACGAAATTTCTTCAGCAGAATTAAAAATAAATGGCAGATAAGTGACCAACAAATACAGAAAGGGATACCAACCAGATTAAATTAAGGTTATACTCTGATCGTTTCATTGCGCCTCTCACCAATAATCAACAAATTATGCAATTTTGCAGTGGATCTAGTGTTTGCGTTGTTTTTCGGCCTGCCTTGTCACTACCTGCTATTTTACGGAATTCACCGCGAGAACAAGAGATATCTGACACCATTTCTCATCTTCTACTGCACAAACTTCGTCCTCAACGTTATCTTCTCGGCAATTACAGTTGTAGCTGCTATTGTTGATGTACGGCGATTACTTTACGGGCAGGTCAAGTACGACTTCGGTTGGATTGCTTTCCAGGTTGATCCATCAATTTCTGTCTTTTTTCTTTCATGTCGCCTTCAGTCATTTTTCTTCCCGACGCTGTGCCACCGTTTTCAATTGTTGCAAAATTATATTGGTAGTTTTCTCATTCTAAACTGTTCTTGTTCAGAAAAATTTTTATCTCGCTAGCTAATTCAGACGAGCCCAAGTAAGTAAATGCTTGTTTTCTTCTAGCGCAGGATGCACTAAAATTACCAGCCGAGGAAAGTGTTAAACGTTCGATTGAGTCGCTTAAAATTCGATAAGGCGAAAATTTTAGGTGTGGAGCGCGTAATTTAGTACGAAACTAGAACATTGGGGGTGCATCAAAGTGCGAGAGATTAGATAAATAATGAAGAGGCAAAAACAGCATAAAAGGTCCCAAAATGTCTGAATGTTTGTTTAGAGGCGTGTATGCGCTTTTGTTCATATAAGCGTGTATATATATGTGTGTGTGTTTATGTGTTCGTGCATATGTATGTGTATGCGCGTTTGTGTATGTTTGCTTGTGTCAGTGCGTATACGTTTGTGTCTTTGTGTTCATATGTGCGTGCGTATTTGTGTCTTTGTATGTGTATATGCGTGTATGTGTCTGTTTGTGTATGCCTTTGTATGTAGTCGGGTCTCGGTATTTGGATATATATGTTTGTTTACGTACCTTTGTTTGGATGTGTGTATGTGTTCGGATGTGTGTTTGTGCTGTTTTATCTATGTACTGTTTGTTTGTGCATGTATGTGTGTACGAATATGCTAACGTGTGTACGTGGTTATGTGTATATGCGCGTGCGTGTGCGTCTGTGTTCGTGTACTGCTTGTTATGCGTTTTTGCCTATATGCAAATTGCAAAAACGCATATTGGGACGACCCTGTCTGTG